TGCATTTGAGATGCGTGAACTTTGAATTCTTTTAACGTCTCGTTCCCTTGAGTTGCTTGTCCTCTCTTCTTCTCCTCACTTCATTTCCTCGCATCTTAATCCTCATCCTGAACTTATTCCACTGACTATGCCTGAAAGCAAGTCACTAACAAACCTGAGAAGGGCTGAACGGAGCAGCTTGAAAACTGAACAGGAAAAGCATTTCAAAACACCAATTTCAGTGTTTGGAAGGTAGCAGAAGGATAAGGAAGAATAACAACACGTGGATTTTAGACAGCAATGATCATCTGACCAAAACCCTCAAATAAGTGTTAGTCTGGGATTACTTGTCGACTGTTTAGAGATTATTATCCTATTATTTTCACCTTTTACAAAATATATGAATTGTGTCAGGAGATTCTAGAAATACAGCATCAGTCACTGCAGACCTCACAAATACAAGACATACAGCAAGATCTGCTACTTGAATCTGACTCTGAGGATGTGTGATTGTTGCTAGAACACACCAGGATCTTACAGTGTGCTAAAATAGCCTTGTGCTGTATTCCACGTCATGAAAGTATGCTTCCTCCTACCACAGTACCTCAGCCCTGACCCATCGGTGTTGGGCATCGCTGTGCTGACTTTCAGCAGGCTACTGTTGCTATAGGTCTGGCCAAAAGAACTGGCTCTAAGCTGAGAGAATCTTTGATCACTGAGGTGCACAGCCTGCTTTTGCACGTCCTGCCCTTCTCAGCTGCACAACCTGTGATGTTCTGCAGCTGAAGATCTGGAACAAATCTAGGAGACACAGCTTAAGTTTTCAGAAATGCTAGTGATTTGGGGAAGTGCAAGTGCTGAATGTCCAACATGGTGTGTACTTCAAAGGGACCTTTTTTTCTGAAATTAACGTGTGGCAGTTTCTAAAGCTATGGCCAATGGTTTGGAGTCTGTCAGATGTTGAAAATGCTGGCTGCTTTCTTGGAAAAACACTTTGAATAATACTCTGAGGCTACCATAAAAATGCTGGCACATTTTGCACACAGCAAAACTATGACAGTCTGTCCTAATGTGAGTGTTACCTGCACATTCTGGGTTGTCTTCATTAAAATTGATTGCAAAATCATGAGAGACCTGCAGGAGAAATGGAAAGAAGAGGAGACTAGTCAGAAAAAATATTCCAAGAGGACTTGCGGTTAAACACCCTTTACATTCTTCCTGTGTAAACCAGAGATCTCTCAAGCTTTCAGCCATTAAGTGTGAAATACAGTCCCAGTGGGAACTCCCTGCAGAAACAAAGTAACAAAACTGGAATCAAATCTGTCAATAACAACAACAAAGCAAGAAAAAAATAGCACAAAGAAAAAGCACCCAAGTAGATAAGAAATCACATAAATTCAGTGTCAGGATTGGGGTATCACTGCCAGGCACAGACGAGGGATCTACTGCCGAGGAGATTTGAAGGCCAGCTCTCCCTAATTAGCTGAGCATCTCAGACCGCGGGAGAGAGAAAACAGGTTGTGATACAGCACTGAACGCACGAGCTCAGCCCCCTTCTGAATCCTGCTCTCCCATGGGTGAACAGTTCCTCACTTGAAGGCCATGGGATTACTCAGTAAATAATTTATTCTCCAATGAGCTCAAGGCAGCCACCCAGACCCACTGTGAAATAATAATGTATGAAACATAAAGAGTCTACGCTGGCTAAGGAATTAGATTAGGCTAGAGGAAAATTAATAAGAAAAAAATGAAGACTCTTGTTTTTCCTCAAATTTAGTGACTCCCATTCTTTCTAAATCTGCCTGCAATAGAATACCACAGAGGTATTTTTGAAGAGAAATTACTGAATATAAAAAAGTTGCTGATCTTCTAAAAAACCAGTGTATTGTATCTTTCGTGGGTTGGGAGAATAATATAAGACATTGGTATGCACGAATAATGCAAGGCCATGTAAATCTCAGTTCCAGGCTTCCTCTATCTCTCTGTCACAGATCTGCATCCACAGCACAAATCTGTGGGGACTGAAACATTCTTCAGATGCTCTTTTCTGGTTTTAAGATTCGATATTGCCTGCATTTGCTCCAGATTCCTTTTTACTCCTTTCTTTGTTTACTAAGAAGGCTTGATTCCTTTTAAACTCTTCAGCTCTGAAACTCAGTCTCTTAATTCTCCTGTTTGTCTTCAACTGTCTTGAATGAAGCCCAACATGTGTCTTGCGATGCAGTGCTGGTTTTGGCTGGGGTAGAGTTGATATTCTTCATGGTGGCTAGCATGGGGTGTGTTGGGGATCTGTGCTGAACACAGTGTTGATAACATAGGGAAGTTTTTGTTACACCTGAGCTGTGCTTACACACAGTCAAGGCCTTTTCTGCCCCTCACCCCACCTCACCCCATCAGTGAGTAGGCTAGGGGTGCACAGTTGGGAGGGGACACAGCCTGGACAGCTGACCCCAAGTGACCAAAGGGATATCCCATACCATATGATATCATGCTCAGCATGTAAAACTGGGGGAAGAAGGAGAAAGGGAAGGACATTCAGAGTGCTGGTGTTTGTTTTCCCAAGTAGCCATTAGGCATGACGGAACCCTGCTTGCCTGGGGATGGCTGAACACCTGCCTGCCGGTGGGAAGTAGTGACTGAATTCCTTGTTTGGCTACGCTTGTGTCTGCAGCTTTTGCTTTACCTATTAAACTGTCGTTATGTCAACCCAGGAGTCTTCTCACTTTTACTCTTCTGATTCTCTTCCCCATCCCACTGAGGGGGAGGAGTGAGCGAGCGGCTGTGTGGTGCTTCGTGGTTGTCTGGGGTTAAACCATGACAAATGCACAACATACAGATATATATTCTTTGGTTTGCAAAAAGTGGACAGGGCTGAGAGTTAAGCAGTTGATTTTCATAACTTGATGTTGAATTTAAGTATATCATCCCAGATTCATGAAAGCATTTATATAGCTAACTTCAATTATACACCTTTGAGACTATAAACCTCTGTAGGAGCTTCACAAGTGCTAACAGTCCTAGTCATATGAAAAGCAACCTGTTTACTTCTTGTACCATGGAGCTTGGCTGATTTGCAAAGATTTATTTGTTGGATGTTGCTGCTACATTTGCTAGTTTAGATGACTTCACGGCACGACACAGAATTTGGTCTATGACTAATAGACCCATAGATAAATATGTGAGTTCAGAGAGGCTTCTCTAAAGGTGAAGTGGTATAAGTTGGTTAATTACTGCCAAAGAGCGTTTGTCATGGAGAAATTGAATTTTCCCATCATATGCTGGCCTTGCTCACCACAGAGATGCCTACCGTTACTTATTACGAGGTTAAATAAAGTAGGACTTCTATGATGATGGGAAAGGACTGAAGCAAAACCACACTGAGGAATCCACAGCCAGCTCTGCCCAGTCAGGAGTTTGCTGTGTCCACACCAAGCACCAATTGCCTGTTATGAAGTGTTTTAAGTGGGCCACCTAGGCTACCCTACGTGGGCATGGAAGATAATGCAGAAAGTCATGGCATACGCTCCTCGCTCAGCAGGCACAGAAGAGCAGGGCTGTCAGATGTGCTTCAGAGGTGCTCCAGAGCCCTTCTGTCTGGCTGCTCCATGCATCTCTCGGCACACTCTGCCCAGCTGGTATCTGCCAGTCTCATGACCAGCTGCAGGCCAAAGGTAATTGCAGCTGTCAAGAACGGTTATGTGAGTTTTCACTCACTGATGATTTTTTTGTTGTTCAATAGCCTTTCTTCTTCCTTTAGGCTTTCTGTATGTTGTAATAACAGCATCTCGAGAGCAACGAGGGTGGCGATGCATGTTTATGTATTACAGGCTGATTCTTCCAACACTGTGCCTGTTCAGTGGTTTTCTTTCTTTACTCGAAATGCATTTGAAATTATAGCAAAAGGAGTATCACAATTCTTTTCCAGAGATATGAATACAGTATTTTAATCTCACATGCAAGCATGGGCTGGATGCTTTTGTTGCTGTACCTTTTTCAGGATCACACTATACAAACAATTTATCTGGTTCAGAGCTATGGTACCCACACTACTATTTAAGAAAAATGTAGACAACTGTTCAGGCCAATAAGGAAAGCCCAAGTTTAGTAACCATGCACAATGATCCAAAAAATTATACTGCCTGAGCAATGGCTGCTGTTCTCTCAAAGCAAGTGGCCCTCCAACATTGTCATTCTGATTCACCAAAACCAGTGTTAAAACTTATCCTGAAGGCAGGACAGGAAACACAATGAATGCAGAAGTACTGGGTTGTTTCCTATGCTCTCTTAACAATATGTCACAATTTAAACAAGATAAAGTGAAGGAGGGAAGTTCTTGGAGCCACTCGGTGACGGTTCAGAAACAGGCAATCATCACCCGAGGCAAGCCAACAGCAGATATTTTTTAAAGCAGAGTTTTTCCAAATGCTCAGAAAGCATTCCCCACTCAGGTGAGTAAAACCAGCTGTGCTTCAGCCTGTTCTGTGCTGTCTCCCCTGTGGAGGCCAGAATTCAAGAGGGCCCAAACCTGCAGAGACTTCAGGCACATGCCATGTACTGATGGATTTACTGAATTTGGGCTGCTACCTGAGAGGGTTCCATGTAAAGCCCACCCATGTCAAAAGGTGGTTTGGATCAAACATTCAATGCTTTTGTTTCAAAACAGTGCAAGGTAATGAGCCTCCTTTTTTATTTTTATAAATTAAACATGCAAGAGTTTCTGTGATGGAAAGGCAAATCATGCTGATGACAGGACCAAAAGCTGGCATACTAAAGGGCATCTTTCTGATGCTGACAATGACACAGCTCTCATGCACTCCCAGAACTGATAAACTGATGGGGAAAAGGAGGCGAAAGGTGAATATCTAAATTGCTGAAGGATGGGAAATCCTCAGGGGAAACAAGACACTTGGCTGTTCAGAAGCAGCCATGTTTATATAATCTACCAGAGTGCTTTGTATAATGGATCAGTCGAACAGCCAGGAAATCCTGGAATATGTCAAGCCACGCAAACACAGAGTGGCTGCTTTACACTAGTACCTGGCCCAGAGAACTTAGCGAAGAGCTGCAGCCTGTGGTCTGTGGCGGAAGTCAGCCTCATGGTAAGGTATGTCCTCACAGAACCTGATTGTATCACCAACCCTGGACCAAGTATCGAACATGTAACTGACACTGCTCAGCCGTCCTCCTCTCCCTCAACATCAATTGATAAAAGGAAAGGGGAGAGAAATTCTGGAGTGCAGAGGTGATTGCATGTGATCAGCCTGACATTACTTGGGTTGCTACAAGAAACATCACTCAAAGCCTCCAACTAAGGACATTTGTTTGCACTTGGCTATGTATTAATCTTTTGTCTCTGCAGGACTCCAGATAAACTATTTAGCAGACACCATCTTCGATGTGGGATTATTGAAACACAGCTGTCCAGGAACTTCCTGCACCAGGAACATGTTATTTCTCAGGTAATTTCTTCAAGGTTTTTAACAAGCAAAATAAGTAGCTCTACCATACATCATGAAGCAGATGACGATGACAGCATTTCTGAGGATACATCAGCTACATAAACAGCCGAAAATATTTCTGCTAAAGCAGACTATAGTATTCTTTTATCACTGTACAGCACCTCTGTTGTCTGTACACACACAGTGACAAGCACCTGCATACAGAAAGGCAGTTGCCCATCAAGGTGATGGTGCCCGTGAGACTCTTGAAAGAACCATAACCATACCTCCACATGCTTATGACCAGTTTAGTAGAAAAGCCACCTTGATTTAATGTAGCAGGTAACTTATTTCTCTTGTATTGGGATGCAATGAAATACATCCTCATAACATGGCCCTTGTTAAATGGGTTTCTAATTAAGCCTGAAAGAGAAGGAAAATTTCCTAATTCATCAGAATTTTTGAGATTGTATAAAAATAAATAAGGGTTTCCTAGACTTAGATAGATAGAAAACTCAAAACATAAACAGAATCTGCCTCAGAATCTGACAAATAATAAAACCCCATGAAAGTCATAAAGCAAATTGCTGAAAAGCTTTTAGACTATGCAAAGGAATTTTATTTAATCAAAACATCAAAACATGTTGTTCTATTTTCACCTCCACATTTTTTTAAACCCTTTTTGCTCTAGCTGAACCTCCATTTTTGAAATAAAGAGCTTCTTTTACTCAGAAACCATGTTTTTCATCTTGCAAATGCTGGAATTGGGTGCCTCAATTCTGAAAATTAGTAATCCTTTTTTCCCCCTCTAGATTGTTGCACTCATTTAAATTAACCTCCCTGTCCCAAATAGCTCCTGCTTTCCAGAAACCTCTATGGTGATGGTAGTGGGACTGCTTGACAAACAATGTGACAAATTCAGGCATGTTAAGGAAAGCTTTTTTACTAATTTAAATAGAGATTGTAAAAAATCCATGAACAATAGATGCATACGAGCGTAAATGCTGAGATGCACAATGTTGAGCACTTATCTTTGAATAAATTGAACACTATTAAGTCACTGCCAGTCTGAAAATGAAATATGGAATGCCTGCATGTTTTGCAAAAGATTAAGACACAAATTTAAAGAACCGTTGCTCAAACGCTATTATTTTCAGAATGCTCATTAATCAAATAGTTTGGTAGCTGGACAGCTTGTGTCTCTGGCTAAAACCACATTGTAGACATTTCTGCTTGGCAAAGCTTGGCAGTTTATTTTCCTTTGTGCTTGATTTCCGAGCACGCTGCCCAGTTTCCACGTCTAAATCCAGGTTGTGTGGTTAAGGTGACAAATTCCGGTTTTTCCCTTGGTCTGTTACACATCCTTCTATCCGTTCTTTGCTGTCGGATTTGCAAATATGTTTGCCTCTGAGCTCCTGAAAAGTTCAGGAATTACAAAGAGCACAGCGCTTTTCAAGCACCTCACCTGTCCAGCAAACCAAAGAGTACAGGTTAGGGTCGTAAAGGTACTGTACTCCGTAACTGCGTGCAGGTTAGGGTTGCAAAGGTACTGTACTCTGTACTTGCAGTGAGGTTCTCTCCAGAGACTCTTCCCAGCATAAGCAGTGAATAAAGCTTTCATTAAAAATGCAGAAATAAGCAGGACTGTCTTAAAACAAACCACAAGTTGTTTCGTACCTATTCAGGTGTCAGCTTGCAATTCTTCTTTAGGAAAGGACACTTTATTATTGATAACACACCTGTCATGGGGCTGACACAATTTTAACTTCCTTTTCATTTTAACAGTAGTTTGTGCTGCTGTTTTTCAGCTCCTTTGAGCTCTGCCTGGTAAGAAATTAGTGTGTGCGATTCAGCTTCCTTTCCTCCTCTTCACCATGACCTTTTGCAGCAGTGTCTGGGTCCATATTATCTGCCACCTCTTCACTTTACATCAGACTTGGAGATACTTCTTCTCATGGCAAAAAAAAATAAAAAAAGTGATGGGTTGGAGACCCTGAAGTGCAATAACTGGCATGTTCTGCAAGTTCCATGTGTTAGAAACTCAAGAGGGAAATACTGCTCTCAAAGGTTTACTTAGATGATGGAGCAGGGTGATGTATTTGTCAGGCCTTGGGGAAAAAAGATCATATTGCCAAATATTAGATGAAAAATCTCTAGACTGCTGAGGGATGTTATATATAGCATGTCTTGCTTCTTTCACTCCCACAGATTCCTTATGCCACTAAGAAACTGCTGTTTTTCTTCTAACAGCCAAAATGTTTCATTTGGAGATGAAATGAGGGAAAATAAAGTCAGCCTAACATAGCTGTGTGCTCTTGAAATGGAAATTCTATGGAAAGCATATATAAAAACATATTTTTAAAGGGGTTCACCCTCAAGAGACTCGTGAAGAGCCTGCAAAAGTGGGTACTGACACTGTTCTGAAGTGCTAACGTAAAATGGGGAGTGCAATTTTCCTTGAGGAATAATAGTTGGCATACCAAAGATTGCTTTTCTTGTAGCACATAGAAGGATGTGAGGATACTGGAAACTCACTAAAGGCACAGGTGCCCTCCAGCACCAATCCCAGGCTACTGGCAGGAGCTCAAGTCAATACGAAACCAAGGCACTGGTTCCATGCAACACCACAAAACAGACATCTTCCTCCCATGTGGTCTAGTGCACCACATGGGATGTTTTAGTTGTGTGGAGGCTCTCGTGGTTATTTAGAAACCCTCGGCAGTGGGAGTCACTTCTTCCACAGCTCTAGCAATTTGTTGTTTACTGGAAGAAATAAAAGAGCAGCTGCTGGTGTGCAGAGACCAACATGCTATGAGCAGGCTAGATCGTCTCATTAGGTCTGAAGACTTGAAAGCAGGCACTCCAAAATGAAAAGCTGATTTATCCACATGATGGGGCCAGAACTTAGAAGTTCTCATAATGATTCAACCAAAATTTGAAGATGTGAATTATTACCGTTGTGACACTGCTGTCCCTTAATAAAACCAAAGCTATGTATGACTTGTAATACCTTCGACTGAAGGCATCAGAAGAACATTTGAATTGCATGAGATCTGCAGTGTTGCTGTGGTGTCTAGAGCGTTACCATATTTTTGCAGCAGAAGGTAATAAGTTAGGGGAGACAAGCTGGGAGCACTTTTTTCTAGTCTTTGTGACTTCTAATTGTATCAGTTTTTTCACCATTTCCTATGCATCTTGGCTATGTTCCACCTCAAACACTAATCACTGTTGGCTTTAAATTAACTTTATGATACCCGTGTAGACTAAATTACTGAACAGTTTTCAGGTTTATTGGCCTTGATTTATTAATGCCTCATGATGAGGCTGACTCTTCAGTCTCTTAGAGGGTATATCTTTCAAGTTAGAAGTGCAGCCAAAGCCAAGCAGGGACCTGAAAGTCTTGAAACAGTTTATTTTAAGAAGGCAGATGCTTGTATGGACTGTGTAGAGGATCACAGGGAGGGACTGAACAATAGCACAGGTGACTGTTAATTCCTAATCCAGTTCCAGTTGGATGTACCATGACAGACACCAAGCTAATTATTTTTCCCCACCTGTTGCACAGAACGTCCTGCAAAGTGGTTCTTCTCTTCTTCAATGTTTTATTACTTTGAACTGGTAAGCTGATATGCCATTTTGTCTTTGTCATTTTCTGTCACAATTTTCCATAGTAGAGATTAAAGATGTCGTGGCCCTCACTTGAATGTCTGTTTACTCTGGGACTTGTTTTGCTTACTTACACATATGTAATCCACAAGCAAGTATCCTCATCTTCACAAATTTACCCTTACTTTTTCTGAACTTCTCAAAATCTGAAGGTCCAATTCATCCATCATTTTCTTGCTTTGAGGCTGGTAACATACAGACTCTACAGGGCACCTCCTGCTATTGGGCAAGACCCTTCATTCGTGCATGGGCCACTAAGTTCAATGCATGTTTCTGACTTCCTTAAGAGTACTTCTCAGGTACCTTTGTTCCTCGTAAGTACTCTTCAGAGTACTTGTCAGCCTGGTACCTTTGTTTAGGACAATCACAGTAGTAATGGCATGGTCAGTGATGGCCAGTACTGGACTGGTTGTGATGTGTAGTCCAGCCCACCCAGCCAACATGGCTATACAGCCATGGGTAGCGATAATGGCATTGTCAGTGATGGCCAGTACTGGACTTGAAAGAGCCATCTGGTTGTGATGTGTAGTCCAGCCCACTCAGCCAACATGGCTATACAGCCATGGGTAGCGATGCACATATTGGTGGCCATTTGAGGAGTAGCTACTGTGTTTCAGTAACATGTCTGGTGGTAGAGGCTGCTCAATATGTCATTCTCCAAAACACTCCCCCTTATACAGCAGAAATGCTTGTCAGCTGCTGCAGTTGGAACAGATACACAACAGACACAGATGTTCTGTGTGCATTTACCACATTAAAATCTGTATCAAAGCTCTGGAAGCTCTCTCTGGTTTTGGAAAGCATTAACACTGGTGTTACTTTTCAGGAACAGAGTGCTGCAAAACACCTTGTCAGGCAGAGTCCACTTTTTTTACAACAGTGCTTTTTAGAAGGCAATGTTGTTAAGACATAGGTTAACTTACCTTAGACACCTGTGCAAGACGTATCAAATCTGCTGTACAACACTACCATTATCCTTATACAGGTATCAAACCTACACGCCACAAGGAACACATTGGTACATTTGTTTTCATCTGCTTATTCATGCTTTACAACACTGAGTGACACAGGATCCCTCCCTGCACAGATCTATTCTCACTTGGCCCGTGTCCACCCCCCTACCACAGCCACAGCTGAGAGACACAACCCAGAGCAGGGATCTGGGGACACTGGATGAAGCCTGAATGACCAGAAGCCCAGTGCTGCTCTTTCACAGATAGGATCTGACTTGCAGAATCCTCAGCTAGGTTTTGGTTACTTATTTGTGCAGAACTACTCTCCTGCCCATACCACCTCTGTATGTGCAATGCGGCATTTGAACTTTCGCCTGCTTCTTCTTAGTCCCTTCTCTGTTGGATGCTCCTTCTTTCTCTCCACATTCTTCACTCCAGCCCTACCAGACTGCATATGTGCGCTCACAATTGCATCACCACTGTGGATCACTCTTGACTTTCATTTATGAGTACCACTATTCTGCAGCATGCATCCATGCTGTCATATTTCTCTTCCTGTACTGAAGGTCTCCACTGTGACATAGAAATTTGACACAGAGGTAAACTCTTCTAAGGTCCTTATTTTCAATAAGTTGTTCCATCTCTTCATCATTAAGCACAGACACTAGGCTGCTTGCTGACCCACATCTTCCAAACATGGGTTCTGTCAAACCAGGGCTCACAAAGCTTCAAAAAATTCTTGGCAAATGTTGTTCAAAAGATCTGTTCTCCTCTTACTAGACTAGGCTTGCCAATACCATGAAATATTTTGGGCGTAACACAAGTATTTTAAGTCTACACTAGCTTTCTGGTTTCAGTGAGGTGTCACAGAGTGAGAAAGCCAGATGAAAGAAAACAAGAAGTAGGAGCTGCTCCCCCTAGCCCCTGCCCTGCACTGAACCATTTCTCCCTTATGTTGTGCCTCATAAACCAAGAAAACTAGAAAATGTAATTTGTGCACCTACTTTGTATTCTGGGGGTATCCTTGCTCCAAATCCAAAGGCTGGGAACATTTTGTCACTGGAAAAGAATGAAGAAAAAGAAGAGTTCCTACAGAGAAATGCATTTTTTTTTACAACAAACATTTATTCTTCAGTAATCATTTATTGAAAATGCAAAGCAGCACAACAGTACAGAAATGGTTTTAAGGTCAAGAGTGTTACGTGGCAGACTGGAAGGGTATCAGAAGGGTGTGTGCTGACCAGATAGGGGAGGTATATGGGAGATTCTTCAGGTGAATCCCTAGTATTTTGGGTAAGTTAAATTCATTTGGAGAATAACAAGGGATCAAGATATCTTGTACTTCTCCCACAAATGCAATAACAGCTCTGTATTACCCAGTCTTTTTCACTACCTGGATGCAGCATGAGTGTGAGTTGACTTACCAACCAGTAACAGCATTTATTTCATATAAACATGGATGTGCTCCCCCAGCTCAGAAAATGGGTGAAGAGATGTAATTAAAGATGTAATTAAAAGTGTTTGCAAATTTGGGTTCTTACAGTTGTCCAGGTGTAAAAGAGACTTCCTAAAATATCCGAAAAGGGGCAATTTCACACTCCCAAACCTATAGGTTCTGTAAAGCTTTCCACATGCATCTTTAGTAGTTCCACTAAAACATGAGATTATATTGATTAGGCATAGGTTGACTGATAACCTAGCAAATGCTGTGGCATGGTCAGTTCACTTTCAAACATGACAGTGAAGTTGTTCTACTGCAGTTAGATCCGTAGAGATAAAAATTCCTGACTCGGAGAACCTGGAAAACTTCAAGGCTGTTAATACCCTTTCAGAAATGCAATAATGTCTCACACAGCCCACGTGCTGTCAAGCTGCCTCTTCCCAGATGGCAAAGTGGAAAACAACAAGCTGTAAGGAATGTCTTGTCCCTGAGTCAGCAAAGCACTTGATCACACACTTGGGGTTAACAATTCACCCAAACATATGCTTAACAAAACACATCCTGAAGCCCTGCGGAAGTCACTGAACTCTACTCCAGTGCTCCGATGAATCAAACCTTTCATAGGTTTATCCTGTTCCACTTAACTGGTTTCAGGGCCCTGGTAAAGTTGAGTTCCTACTATCATTAATGGTACTTTCAAAAAGTCTCGAGAAAGGCCACCAGCAGCTTCAATTTTCTTTGTGTAGTTCAAGACATTGCCACTCTAAGTATCAACTAAATAATTTGTTTCCCAGATGTACTCAAGGAAGACAATAGAACCATTAAAGCTGCTGGGCTATTCTGTCTGGCATAAGCTGTGAAAGGCACCATGATATTTCTGATCAAGCTAAAGAAAAATGTAAGGGTTTGAAAGAAAGCAGAAATAAGCACTCCCTGACCTCCTCCCCCGAAGTCAGAGCAACCATGAGACAGGAATATTCATTGGGAAACAGTGATGACTGTCATCTGACGGTTTAGCTCTCACAATTGTTGTTCTGCTACGAAATACGGTTGCCACATAAATCTTGGGAGCACAGTTCTGTGTACCATATGTTACACCGTGTGACAATGGATCTTGGAAAGGAAGACTAACATCATTTGCATGGTAATGAAACGTTTTTTCCAAGAGATGTCAGAAATGAAGTAGCTGCTGACATTTGATGCTAACCACCTGCTGATAGCCTTCTCTTTGATTAAACACTCCTGGAACTGGGGAAGCCCTTATAAATAGATGCAGAGAATTCAAAAGCACACTTAGCGGGCAAGAAATAAGAAGCCACTAGAAAAGAATCTGAGGAAAGAAAAAAAAAATCGTGTTTTACATCAATGATTAAGCGTGGTTGGATTAGAAAATCAAACCCCATGGAGCTGCAAGTTAATTGATTTTGGGCAAGAGCAAACAGACTAAAAAAGAATTTTACTTAGGCAGAACATAAGTGTCTAAGCTCAATAAAGCAATCAAAAAAACTGATGTTGGCAGCAATTCCCCAATCTGGGAGATGCCGAAACCCATACAGTGCCTCCATTTGTACTGCAGTGCTTCTCCAGTGTGCACAGGTGTAGGCACCCTCATATCTGCAGCTCCATCTCCTGCTCTGCAGCAATTCAGAGACAGCGCTAAGTGATACCTCCAGCAGCCCCGATTCTCCTTCTGGTGGCGAGACTCCCGCATTCCCAGTCACACAGTGGCACAGACCCCACCGTTATCTTGCACCCAGAATACCTTACCACCACAGTCAGGACACCTGCCTTTATGTCTGAATCTCTCCCATCTCCTTTTTGAGCAAGTGCTAGTTACTGCTACCGTTGCCTTGTGAAAGAGTAAAGCTTGATCACGTGTACCCTCAAGATGGGATTCCATGTGACAGCTTTTTAGAGGGAAGTACATGAACTCTAGAGAGGAGGGGTATCCTGGGGTCTAATCCCATGCTTAGTAATTTCTCTTACATCTCTCAGCTCCACATTCTCCTTAGGAAGCTTCCGATTTTCCAGAATTTAGGTACGTACCTCTGGTATTCTGATTCAAGCTGCTGGGACCAAAGAATTTGCTTTCATGTGCTCCCAGAGCTTGATCTTTAAGGTAAGAAGGGAACCTTTTGATTATCACTCATGACATCTCTTGCATAAAAGATTATAATCATTTTATTCCCTGACCATACCTCAACATTTCTGACCGACAGCTTTCAGAATAAAATAAAATTTTAATGTAAGCCATACCTTCCCTCCTATTACACAAAACAAGACGTTTCGCTAATATAAAGTTCTCTTCAGTAGGTACGCTGCTTAATGGCTCAGTGATGTTTTACAAAGTACCCCTCTCTAGTTTTCCCTTCCACCCCTCACTTTGTCATACAGGGAAATACCCAGTAGCTGAGCCTGCTGCCCTCATTCTGCTTATCCTGCACTACTGAGACTCAGCAGGGAAGAAGTGACCCAGAAGGGCAGCCAAGGACTCTTTCACTTCCAGGACAATCCTTTATGGTCTGGAGGCGTGACAGAGCTGCTTCACCAGACCCAGGGCTATCATGAAAGCTTGCAGAAGAAAGCAGAGCAGCTTCCCAGCTTCTGGAAGGTATGTCAAGGGTTAGGCCATCCAGGGACTGAAACTGCAGTCAGAAAATGAAAAGAAGGTTTTCTCCTGCCTCAGGGGTAAATTGTATGCATCAGAGACTCCAGCCCTGTTTCCTAACCTGGCATTTCAGTACAAAAGGGATCTGCGCTAATGACTTTTCTTCCTTTGTAATTTAAACCCACTCGAAAGAAGAAAAGTGAGAACCAGTTTTCTTTTCCTTTGCTTGCTTAGGCATTTGGGCTTTATTTACACCAGGAAACAGGCCTGGGACCCGGGAAGAAGCACTAGGATGTGACTACAGGCATGGCCTGTGAGCACTCCCCGGCATAGTGCTGACTCCTGCCAACCAGCAGCCCCCCAGGGCTCCCCAGGGACAGCACTGGGGACAGCTGTGCCTGAGACTGCTCCCAAATGGCACTTTGGGCACCACCAGTTCATGCTGGGAGGAAGAAAGCTGAGATACAAGGACACGGGCAGTGTCATGTCCTTGGCCTCAGGCCACATCAGGATCTTTGACTTGTTTTGTTTAAACCTAGCCAGAGAGTCCTTGGCACAGGCAAGGAAACTGCCTGCACTGTCCTGCTGGAGACAGATTGCTACAGGGACGGGAGGGAAACACAGAATTGGAAAAACAAGCTGGTTCTCTAAAACCTGAAATTTACAAAATCAAGTAAGAAAAAGAGGATCGTGGCTTGTAAATCTTTACAAAATTACTGCCCTATCTACTTCACTTGTTCTTTGTTTTACATGGGTTCCTTTGAGAATTAAAACTTGGCACACTTTTCAAAATCCAAAGTACTTGACATAAAGATCAAAAAAAGCAAAAGCATCAGACTTTGACTTTTATACCTGGTTATATAAGGGTCATAATTAGTCATGCAAGCATAGATGTATATAGCTTCTGGTGTTCTTTCCAGTCAAAGAGGCATATATTACTGAAAAATACCAAAGACTGATCAGATTTGGGTTCTAACCTAAAGGTAAAATTAGGGAGAGGGTTTAGGTTCAGTGTTCACATTGGTAAATGGAAATTAATGTACACAGAAAGGAACTGTCAGGCCTCCAAGACTGCAGTCTTCTGAACAGAAGTACAACCAGTGAGAGAAAAGTCCCTCAGTAACCTCAACTATAACATAATGCATAGCAGAAAATAAATTCTGAAACTATCCCATATTATCCTTTTGGAACATTGCTCAGTTTTAGTCACCCATCCTTCAAGCTATCTAGTGGAAACAGAAGAAGCGCAATGACAAATCAATACATTAACAGAGGCAGAGGGTAGAGGGATTTCAGTGAGCTGTACTGCACAGACAGGAAAAGAGATGAATAGAGGAAATAGTAAGGTTTGGTAAGTTAGTAAAAGTGACACAGATAATGACACATTTTTCTCTTTCATTAGGAAGTCTAGTGCTACTGGAAGGTAAGAAATAAGTTTATACTGAAGATAAGGAGAGAAAATAAAGAATGTTTCAAAATCTTGTCTTGTTTATCACTGGTGCCCTCTGACATGCAGCATCATTGAAAATTGGAGTTCAGCTTTATTCTGAGAAGGATTTGCTATTCCTAGTGACAAGGAGGACAAGTCAGATAAAACTCTTCCCCTGGGTGAAATTAATTAGACAGACATTAGAGAGCCCTTTGTAACTTCCTCTCAGGCTGCTGGCTTAGATGATGCTGGCGACAGAGCTAGATAGTCACCAGGGTGGCAATACCTGTATTCAGAAAGGAAAAGAAGAGCTCCCAGGACTATGTTTTCGAAAATCAGTTCCTTTTTAAAATTAGGATCTAAGTTCTTAATTGTTGAAAATCAGTTCCTTTTTAAAATCTAAATTAGGATCTAAGTTCTTAATTGTATGGAGTAAATGTAGGGGTAAAAAAGGCCTAGGTCATTCTATATGCCATTTATTCATTCTGAAAGGTGAACTTCTAGCTAGCCACTTACACAGGTTGTTTGGGACTCACTTGACTGGTGGCTCATGAAAGCCCTTTGCTATGTAGCTATAGATG